ACCTCTGTGCCACCAACACCACAAAGGCTTTCCTCACCCCCCAACCCAATCCCAACATGGTCCGAACAGAGCCGGGATGGGCAGGAAGAGGGGAGAACACTGGGAATCACTTACTCCTCTCCATCCACATCACAACATTAAATCAAAGCTGCTCACTTCCCATCCCAAAGCATCCCTATGGAGACCACGAGCATCTCACCAACCTCTGTGCCCCCAACACCACAAAGCCTTCCTCACCCCCCAACCCAATCCCAACATGGTCCGAACAGAGCCGGGATGGGCAGGAAGAGGGGAGAACACCGGGAATCACTTACTTCTCGTAGTCGTGCTTGCAGTAGAGCTGCCGGTTGCGGCTGTAGCAGGTCCCGGCCAGGGGCTGCAGGCACACGGCGCATTTCACACAGGCCTCGTGCCACGAGCGCTCGTTGACACGGAGCAGGAAGCGGTCGGAGATGGGGGTGTCGCATCCCGCGCACACCTCCCGCATCTTGGAGTCGGGACCTGGAACCGGAGTGAAAAGGATGCAGTGAGAAGGGGATGCTCCTCCACGGAACAGGGATGCAGGGCTGTTGGAGCAGCTCCCCCGTGGAGCCAGGTGGGGAGCGTTGGGGCTGGAGAAGAGAAGCTGCAAGGAGACCTCAGGGCAGCTCTCAGTAGCTAAAGGGGACGCAGGGATGCTGGAGAGGGACCTGCATGAGGGACAGGCCAAGGGGTGATGGGTTCAGACTGAAACAGGGAAGTTCAGCTTGGAGATAAGGAAGTTCTGCCCTGGGAGGGTGCTGAGGCACTGGCATGGGTTGAATGGGAGAAGTGATGGGTGCTCCATCCCTGGCAGTGCTCAAGACAAAGCCTTGGGTGCCATGGTCTAAGGGTGAGGTGTCCCTGCCCACGGCAGGGGGTTGGAACCGGATCACCTTCATCTCCTTTCCAACCCAACCCGTCCCATGATCCTATGATTCCTGTGCTTGGAGGAGAAAAGACGCCGCGAGAAGGGAGTTCTCCCGTGCCAGGAGGCGAAGCGATGCCCTGAGAAGGGAGTTTTCACCCCAGATTTGGTGCTGAGAGCGGCTTCAAACGCCTCCAGAGCTTTGGGATTTGCTGCTGCTCCTCCTCGCCGTTATCAACACGTAAATCTGTGGCTGCTCTTCAAAGGCTTCGGCAGAACTCGAAGGTGAAGGAGTGAGCAATAAACGCTCTCTCTGCAGCCGAGCCAGGCAGCTTCAGCCTCTCCAATGGCCACAGCCTCCTTCTCCTTGTCCTCTGCGGCTTCTCCGTGCCTTTATCCCCCGTGTGAGCTTCTCCATCCCGGGCTGGCACCTTCCCAAGCCCCCTGGAAGGATTGGGGCCACGATGGCATCCCATGGGTGATGCTTCTGCCCTTAGGACAGTGCTCCTTCACTGAGGAAGCAGCTGCTTTTCCCCCTGGATAAGTGGAGCACGGAGCCAGCAGGACCCCAGGATGCAGGAGCCATGAGCAGGAAGCTTCCCAAACACCCAGTTTTAGCTTCCCCCATGCCCTGAGGTCATTTGAAAGCCCACAAATGCCTTGAGGAGGCTGCTGTGGTTGCACCAACACAAGAAGGGGCTTTGTGAGGATCATTCTATGCCCCCCCCAAAAGGGGCGTTTGGTGTAAAGGCAGCTTTGGGTCCTGCATTGGGCATCGCCTGCATCCCTGTGCTGGGTGATGCTGCACCAAGCACAGCAAGTGCTGGGTCCTGGGTGACAACAGCAGCTGGAAGGGGACCAGACCCCCTCCTGCACATTGGGAGCCAGCGCATCAGGAATGGGAATGAGGATTTAATCCCAGAAGAAGGAAAGGGAATAGCTGGTGATGCCGGAGCAGCAGCTTGCATGGCCAAGGCAACAAGGAACCGCATGCCAGGGGCTGTGGGCACGCACAGGGCTTCTCCATGGATATTTATCACACATTGAGGCTCCATTTGTCACTTTTCCTTCTGTTTTTAGCTGCTGCCATCAAACGTTGTCACCCTTCTTGAATTCCAGCCCATGGGCTGCGTGTGACCCACAGGCTCCAGTGGGTTGGAGGCATCTGGGACTACAAATCCCCAATTCCTGGTTGATTTAAGGGGGAAAACAGGGAATAATCCAATAGAAAACCAGGCTGGAGCTCTGGGAATGTGGGATCAGCCTCAAAGGGAGAGACCCAGAACTTCAGCCTGGGGATGTCTGTCCCTGAGCAGGCAGGAGGATGCCAAGGAGTCGGGGTGATGGGAAGCAGCAGGATGCTGGCTCAGGATGCAGGGCCCGAGCAGGGGGTTAGAGCCCTGCAATAAGCCACACGTGAGTCCCTCAGCACAAGGCCACCAGCACGGTGATGCTGCAACACATTGGGAGCGATCCCGAGCTCCGAGGGTGGAAAGGGATGCAGAAAACCCCAGGAAAAGTGCCTGAATCCCTCCCGTCCCCCAAGGCAGAGCGGGAGAAGGAGCAAAACTGAAAGTAAAGAAGGTTCTGCCTTAAAGACACCGGGCTCCTGAAAATGCAACAGTTTGGACCCACAGGGGTGTTAACGAGGAGCATTCCCACCTTCCATGTCATGGCTCCCCGAGGAAGGGAAAAGGGACAACAAGGAAGGGGTGGAAAGGGGATGCGGGAAGCAGCTCAGGGGGATGCGGGAGGCAGCTCCGGTGCCTCACCCCGGTGTTATCCAAACTTAATCCCCTGCATCCAGGCCCTCCCCAGGCCTGTGAACACCCAACGGGCAGATTTCCTGCCTGGAATTCCCAATTTGGATCGGCAGCACCCCATGGTCCAGGGCCCTGCGTGGGATACTCCCTAAAATCAACCAAGGACCGGGATACCCTGAGGCTCTGAAGGGGCTTATCCAGGAGGCTGGGACAGACAAGGGATGGATGCTCCTGGTGTCCCTGTCCCCCCCAGGCTCTGTCCCCTTGTGCTGCGTCCGTGGCCAGGGATGCTTTGGGGTGCCAAGATGCCATTTTGCAGCGCGCCAACACCTTGCAGTGCCTTTGGCTGCCTCAGCATCACCAACCCAAAAAGCCAGGCTGGGCGAGGGGGTGCTCCCTCCCCGCTGCTCACCCCGATAATGCCGACAGCGGGGAAGGAACGCGGCAGAGGAGCCGGGAATGCCGCTGGGATCGTTCGGGCGGGGGAAGAACGGGAAGCGCAAGCAGGGCCTGCGGGTCCCGCTGGAACTTAGGGACAAGCCGAGACCCCCGGAGCGGCCCGGGAGGATGAGGATGAGGATGGGGATGGGGATGGGGCAGGCGGCCGCGGGTGCTCCCCGGTGCGTGGGACCCGCTCCCGGTGCGTCCGGTACTCACCGAAGCCCAGGACCGGCGTCGCCTGCTGCAGGCAGGACGGAGCCTCTTCCGTCTTCATCCCGGCGGCCAGCGTTGGGGCTGCGGGCGGAGAGGAGCGTTAAGGACCGGGACCGCCCGACCCCGCCTCGGGTCGGGGCTACCCGGTGCCTCCCGCTCGTTTTCCCCCGTCCCAGAGCTCCGCTTAACGAACGGCAACGAAATCACGGCGGCGGCGGCGGCCGCACGCTCCGCTCCCCCCGGTCCCGCTGGGGTAGAGACCGATCTTACCCCCGGCATCCCCGGAGCCAGCACCGGGGGCAGCACCGGGGGCTCCGGCGGCGCTGTCGCCCAGCACCCCCCCGCTTTCCATCCCGTCCCGTCCGCTCGGGACACGGCGACCCGACGGGTCCCTGCGCTGCCGGTGCCGGGCTCTCCGCTCACGGACGGGGCGCACACCCGCGTCTCCCCCCGCACGGAGCATCCCGGCCGTCGGTTCCCGACCCCGCATCCCTGCGCCCGCCCCGTCCATCGGCGGGCACTCACCGGGATAACGATCCCGGCGGCGGGGAGGGGACGGGAATGGAGCCGAGCGGGGCGCGACCGTGCGCGGGGCAGAGCGCGCAGCCCCCGCCCGTGCCCGCGCCCGTGCGCGCCGCCGCCCCCCGCCTCCCCCGGGAGCGCGCCTGAGCCGGGAGCGCGGCGGGGGCCCCATCGAGGTGGGACCCCCCCCCCCCCCCCCCCTTTTCCCCTCTCCCGGTGCAGGCAGAGCCCGGTGCGATACCGACGGGTCCCCCCGAAAGGGGGGAGATGGGGTGGGGGGCTGCGCTCCGCCGCTCACCGCGGGGTTGCCGGGCTCTGTCGCGACAGCGGTGTCGCCAATAGGGCAAGCGGATGCGCGCCCTCCCGCCGTCGGGGCCGCCGTGGACCCGTTCGGCTCCCGGTGGGGACGGTCCCAGAGGGGCGGGGGGGGGGGGGGGGAGCGGAACCGGTCCGCGTCCTCCCCGCGGCTCCTCCAACGAATCCAGCGCCGGCATCGTCCGGGGACCAAGCGGGAACCGGGACCGAGCGGCGGACCGGGACCGGAGCCGGGTCCGATCGCACCTCGCCCTGGGCACCTTGCGCTCTGCGCACTCACTTGTGCACGGTACAGAGCCCATGGAGGAGCTCGAGGTGTCCCCGTCCGGCCCCGTCCGAGCCCCCCAAGTGGTGCTGTGGGGTCTCGGGGGGGAAGCAAAGCCCGCTTCCAGCTCCAGCCCCGTGTTCCCGGGGTCCCTGGGGCTCCACTTGGATCCTCTGTGCAGTGGCCGGGACTCGAGCCGGGCGGAGGTGGGGGGTACAGGGTAGTTCTTGGGGGTGCAGAGCTGCCCTGAGCACCAAACCCCTTCAGGAGCAGGAAGGGTCACGGCAGAGGCACCAAATCCTCATGGATGGAGCTCAGCTCTGCTCCATCCACGCCTCCCCTTCCCGGTGGTACCATGGGAGATGCTCCTGGGATGCCCGGTGGGCAGCAAATCCCATATCCATCTAATCCTAAATCACGGAATGGTTTGGGTTGGGAAGGACCTTAAGATCGTCCAGTTCCAAACCCCGCCACTGGAGCATTGCACCCCATTTATCCCCAGCCTGCTCCTGGCATCTCCTCTGACCTGCAGTGTTGCTCCATGCCTCCCGCTCCCCTCCCACAGCCCTTCATGCCTAGAAACAGAGAAGCTTCGTTAACCAGAGCAACGATTGTCCTTTATTAGGCTGAGCTCCCCATGGAGAGCCCAGATTCCTATGGATATCGCTTCGGACCATACAAACCCATCCCTGCTCTTCCTCGGGACAGAGCAGAGAGCATAAGTTAAGAGGAGGAAGGAACGTTCGTGGCGCCAGAGCATCTCCATGAGCGGCTTTGCTCACTGGGGCACAGGCTTCTCGCAGATGTAGTAGCACTCGTAGGTGCAGTAGACATCGTTCCACTTCCCCGACACCCAGAGGTGGGCACAATCCTCATTGTTGCCGCTGTTATTGGGCTCTCCCTCCTTCCAAAACCTGGGCAGAGAAGGATCTGGTTGAGTGCGGGCAGATATGGGCTAAATCTGGCTGATTTCACATGGTTTAGGCGCTCATTTCTGCCTCTCTTGCTGTGCTAGAGCAGGGCAGGGTGAAGCAGGAGCCATAGGAACCCCACTGGGGTGCTGGGCATAGGAACCCCATCGGGGTGATGGGCATAGGAACCCCCATCGGGGTGATGGGCATAGGAACTCCATTGTGGTGATGGGTATAGGAACCCTATTGGGGTGATGGGCATAGGAACCCCATCGGGGTGCTGGGCATAGGAACCCTATCGGGGTGATGGGCATAGGAACGCAATTGGGGTGCTGGGCATAGGAACCCCCTTGTGGTGCTGGGCATAGGAACCCCATCGGGGTGCTGGGCATAGGAACCCCATCGGGGTGATGGGCATAGGAACCCTATTGGGGTGATGGGCATAGGAACCCCATCGGGGTGATGGGCATAGGAACTCCATTGTGGTGATGGGCATAGGAACCCCATTGTGGTGCTGGGCATAGGAACCCCATCGGGGTGCTGGGCACAGGCACCCAGGGCAGCACTCACGTGAAGGTGGTTTTGTAGTCGGTCCCGTCCACCCATTCCCATTCCCCTTCCGAGTTCTCATCCGTGAGCCCGATCCAGAAACGCTCATTCCTTGTCCTGAACATGACAAAATTCTGCAGCGGGGAGAGGGATCAGGAGGGAAAAGCGCCAGGAAAGGGCTCCTCCAGCCCGCACCCGGGGGAATTCTATGGAAGAAGTCTATGGAAGGGCTCAGAGAGGAGCTGGGGAGCTTCAGCTCTGCCCTTGGCTGTGGATTTAGGGGGTATCTGCCCCGTGTACAGGATGCACAGGATGGGTGCCGCTGCTGGGTCTGAGCATCCCCAGCGCACCCAAGCGGAGCCCCGGCTGCAGGCAGCGCAGGCTCTGCCTGCTCTCTGCTGGCTGCTGTAGGCGATGGCAGGGTCCAGGAGGGACACGGAAGGGGGCAGGATCCAGGAGGGACACGGAAGGGGGCAGGATCCCGGCCATTCCCGCTTGGAGCCGGCTCTTTACCTGCTTGGCGTAGCTGTCAACGACAGCGAGCTGCGAGCGCATCTCCTCGCACTGAGCCTTCGCTTTGTGCCAGCTCGTCCTGGTGAGGGAGAAGTAGTAGCATTTCCCACCAAAGTATTCCCATTCCCTGGATCCGGGTCCGCAGGGAAACACTGGGGGAAAGAAGGATGGGGAGGGAGAAGTCAGAGGGATGGGGGGGGGGGGGTGTCGGTCCCAACCCGGAGCTTGTTGGAGGCTGGATCGGCACAAAGGTGGCCGCCAGCATCCCAAAAGGCTTCAGTGACCTGGGAAAACCGGTTCCCTATGGGATAAGGAAGTGGTCGTGGCTGGCAAAGCAGCAAAGGCAGAGGGGGGCGATGCCCTGCAGCCCCTCAGGGAAGCGATGCGCCCCAGGGGCGCTCTGGGGAGGGAAAGCTGATGGGATGGGGCGGGGAGGAAGCGGGACTTACAGAGGAAATCCCTGCCCGAAACGGTGTGGTTCTGCGGCGGGGGCAGCTCCTGGAGCTTCGAAGAAATGGCTGAAACTATGGGGAGAGAAGGATTGATGCTGGGTCAGGGCTCGGGTTGCGGCCAAGCAAGCACCTCACCCCCTCACAGCTAAAGGCGTGCTTCACCTTCCATAGAGCCCCAGGCTGGAAAGCATCCCACTGGATCGAATTGGGATGAAGGGATCTTAAAGCTCACCCAGTTCCAACCCCCTGCCATGGGTAGGGACACCTTCCACTAGAGCAGGGTGCTCCAAGGCCCATCCAACGTGGCCTTAAGCCCTATCCAAGCCCTTCCAGCAGCCTATAGGGCTTGTAGCTTGGATGAGCCATGGTGCCATGGACATCAATGGTCACTACACAGGAGCTCTGTCCTCTGGGATTAGGACCTTTAGGAAGCACCCCCTTAGACCTCGTGTATCCCTGGGTTCTATGTGCCCAATCCATCAGTTCCGAGGCGTTCCAGTACCTCTGGAGAGCGACACAGCGAAGAGGGTGAAGATGAGGAGGAAGGAGAGGGCCAGCAGCAAATAGACGGTGACGAAGGACTTCAGCTTCTGCCTGAAGAAGTTTCTGTCTTTAAAACAAAAGCATCGGGATGGCAAAGTATTCCCTTGGGATCAGCGGGACGGCTCCTCCGGCCCGTTTAGAGAAGGGTTAATAAATAACCTGCAGTGGTCAATGATCTGCTACAGAAGGCAAAGGGATGATCTTGAGCCATGGGGTTGGGGCTGGAATGTGGTCTGAAAGCCTCCTGGTGCCTCCTAACCCCCTTCTTAGCAGGGAAATTGCTCCCCGAGTGACCATCCATGATCTGGAATGTCTCTGCTGGCTGGAGCTGGCATCTGATGCCCGTATCAGAGGGGTTGAATGTGGGAAACGGGCTCCCACATTCCAGGCTTGGGAGCTCCATTTGGGAAAAGTGCAGGACATGGAACCCTCTCCGGTGTTGCTGGTTGGGCTCCACCAAGAGCCCTTCATGTGTGTGATGTCCCTTTCTCTCCTCTTCCATCTGAGCCTTTGCAAGGGGTGGGTTCCCATCCCAATCCATCCCACAAGGTGCCCAAGAGGAGGAGGAAAGAGGCCTTAGACCTTCCTCTTCCTCCTAAGCCATGTTGGTGATGGAAGCCCATGCTCCCTCCTCCTCCTCCTCCTCTTTGAGGCTGAAGCTTACCTTGAAAGACCTTCAGGTCCTCATGAAGATGCTCCTCCTCCATCCTGGTAAGCTCTGGTGGGGAGGAGGTGGGGCGGGGAGCGGGGGGATGAAGCTTAGGATGGAGGAAGCAGAAGCTCCTCAATCAGGCTCTTGCAGTGGAGAACCTGCAGCAGCTCCTGGTGCTGAGCCCCAGGGTTATAATTTAACCAGGCTCTGTCCCATGGGCTTGTCCTCTCCCAGGAGCACCTTGGATTGTGGCCACTTCCAATGGAAGCGATGGGGACACGGGGACGGCTTGCTTGGAGCAGGGTCACTCTGCCCTCGGATAACCCAGCTTTAGGGGCTCCCTAAGGTCTCTTTCCATGTTGGTGGCCCTGGTGGGGTGCTGGGGGGGCTGTTCGTGGCCTGGATTCACTGAGGCTCTCTGCAAGTCTTCCCATAGACTCATAGGATGGGTGGGAAGGGATCCCAAAGCTCATCCAGCTCCAACCCCTGGCACCTTCCACTGGAGCAGGGTGCTCCAAGCCCCATCCGATCCAGCCTTGAACAGGGATGGCTCATCCCAAACTTCTCCCTTCAACCCATCCCCATGTCCCACCACCCTCATGGGGAAGAACATCCCAAGACCCCATCTCCACCTCCCCTCTGGCAGCTTAAAGCCATTCCCCCTTGTCCCGTTCCTTCACCCCTTGTCCTCGATTCCCAACATTTGCCCCCGGTCACCCCGGATTCCCAGCTCCCCTCCCGCTTCCCAACCTGAAAGGGCCACTTTGTGCCTTGGAAACCGGGAATTGCTGGGCTGTGCCGTTGTGTTCAGCGATGACGTGCTGGGAGATGATGGAAAACTGGCGAGTTGGGATTGCTGGATATTAAATCCCGTTGCCGGGAGCATCCCGCTGCAAGCATTGAGGGAGCGCTTCGGCTCCAACTATGCCTTGACTTGGCTTTATCCCGGGATTCATTCTCCCTTTGCTGTTTTCCCTCCTCGCTGCTCCCAGTTTTAATAACAGGAATCACTCCACTGGGAACCCCCAGGCCTGGGAGAAACATGGAGCGGGGGTTACTGAGCAAGATAAACAGGGAACGGGTGTTACTAAGCCAACAGCCTTGGGATGCGTTCCAAAGCAGAGCTGGGGGCATGTTCCCGTTGTTTGCTTGCCCCACAGCTCCAGAGGTTGGGAATGGGAGCAGGAAAGAAGCCAGGGCACAAAGACCTGCAGTTGGCAAGGGGCAGGGTGAGGGTTTCATCATGGTGGGGGGGTCACTGCCGTCAGGGCTGTGTGGAACCCAATGGCTCATTGCTGAAGCGGAGTGGAGGACAGGATGAACCCAGCCCAGGAAACATCAGTCGGAAGCAGTTTGATTTAATAAACACAAGGAATCATCCAAAGCCCTCCCTGGTTGATGGGATAACCTCGGAATGGGAACGTCGCAGCGTTCCATGGCAGCGGACACCGCAGGGAGGACGATGACAACAGAAGGCGAGGGGGAAATGTGGCTGTCGGTGATGCCCAAGAGCACTGGGCAAACAGGACCTCAGGACCACGTACCCAGGAAGCCCCCATGCGTAAAGGCTTCCCAAGGAGTAACCTGAAGAGCGGAATTCCAAGGGAAGTCCAAGCAAGGACATCCTGGATTGGGAAGCACTCCTTGCCCAGGCTTCTCCAAGCAGAAGCGTGTGGCTGGGGTATCCACCTCTTCCCCAGCAGAGGCTGGAGTGTGCATGTGGGCTGCTTGAGCAATCGGAGCTGGATGTTGACTGGAAGTTTGGGATCTGGGCTCCTGGATCTCTTTTATTCCAGTGGCTCTTCCAGTTCTGCGTTCCTTGAGCTGCTGCCTGGTGCTCGGTGGGGAGGGAAGAGGAGCAGAGGGAACCTCAGCTCGTCTCTGGTCACCTCCTCAGCGGCGTTCCCAAGAGACGGCTGCTCCCTGGCTTCCCTATTCCCCTGCTCCATAGAAAACAGAGTTGGGGTGGTGGTGGGGATCCCAGCAAACCCAACTTCCTACCAAGCCCCTTTATGGGATGCACTCGCTATCGTGTGCCCACTCTGGCCCTAAACCAGGCTTGGCAGCCCCGGCTGCTTCAGGCTGGGGGTTGAGGCGAATGGGAGCAGCTGCAATGGGATAAATTCAGCCGGATTTGACCCAGGACTCCCGTTGTGATGCGAGCGCCGACGACCCGGAGCTCCCTGAGCCGGGGCAGCGCTCGACCCAAGGCAACCGCAGCCCCGGCAGACACCTTCACCCCCAGCTCAAGGCAAAGCATCTCCAGGTGCTGCAGGCAGCAGCAACGACCTCGAGCTCCCGCAGCCGCTTCAAGTGGTACCCAAGGGAGCCCGCGGCGGCATCGCCGGCGCCGCAGCCCCGCAGGGAGCAGCGCGCTGCAGACCGGGCTCCGTCAGGCGATAGGAGCCCCGCAGGCTCAGCATCTCCCGGCGGTGCCGGGAGGAGGCAGCCACCAAGGCCGGGACGTGGTGGACCAGGAGGTGGCGAAGAGACCGCGGGGAGGAGGCGGGCGGGTGGAACCGGGCAGCGGGGGTCTCGTATAGGGGGGGGGCCCCATCTTTCCCTATAGCGCGACATCTTCCGGCCGCCAGACCCTACCTACCTACATTTCCCCTCTTCCCGCTGGAACCGGGAAGCGGGGATGCTCTCGTAGGGGACCCGGCGCACGTCGGTCTCGGCCAGGCTCAGGCGTTGGAGCCGGGTGGCAGCGCTGGCCCAGGGCCGCCAGCAGAGCCGGGGACAGGAGGGGAGGCCGGGAGGGGGAGAGGAGGGAGCCCCGGGCCCGCAGCGTGCACAGCCCCGCGGGGAGGTGCCGGAGAAGGAGCTGCCACAGGACCCTGGAGCTGAGGTGCTGGGGGGGGGGGGGGGGGGAACAACAGGACAGGGGCTGGGCTCAGAGAGTGGGGAATGGGGGACCCATGTCTGCAATGGGGTCATCCCCCCCCCATCAGCTCCTGTCTGCAATGGGGTCATCCCCCCCTCAACCCCCTGCCTGCAATGGGGTGATCCCCTCCATCAGCTCCTGTCTGCAATGGGGTCCTCCCCCCCATCAGCTCCTGTCTGCAATGGGGTGATCCCCCCCCATCAGGTCCTGTCTGCAATGGGGTGATCCCCCCCCATCAGCTCCTGTCTGCAATGGGGTCATTCCCCCCCCCCATCAGCTCCTGTCTGCAATGGGGTGATCCCCCCCCATCAGCTCCTGTCTGCAATGGGGTCATCCCCCCCCCCATCAGCTCCTGTCTGCAATGGGGTCATCCCCCTCTCAACCCCCTGCCTGCAATGGGGTGGTCCCCCCCATCAGCTCCTGTCTGCAATGGGGTGAACCCCCCCCATCAGCTCCTGTCTGCAATGGGGTGATCCCCCCTCAATCCCCTGCCTGCAATGGGGTGATCCCCCCCCTCAATCCCCTGCCTGCAGTGGGGTGATCCCCACCTCAATCCCCTGCCTGCAATGGGGTGATCCCCCCCTCAACCCCCTGCCTGCAATGGGGTGATCCCCCCCTCAATCTCCTGCCTGCAGTGGGGTGATCTCCTGCCTGCAATGGGGTGATCCCCCCTTCAATCCCCTGCCTGCAATGGGGTGATCCCGTCTCAGCCCTGTTGCCTTCACAAGCCGTGGTGACCTGGTTCAGGAACGGCACGGTGACCAACCCCAGGCCGCTCGGGCCATCAGCTCACAGCCACCAATGTGGTGGATGGCAAATGCCATTTATTGGTACGTAAAACAGCATTATATACCCTGGGTTTGTGACGTCACTTCCGTCTGCCTACATCACAAACCAAATGCTATTGGCTATCAAGAGAGGGGCCCCATCTTTCCCTATAGCGCGACATCTTCCGGCCGCCAGACCCTACCTACCTACATTTCCCCTCTCCCCATGCATCACTAAATTGGCTAAATATAACAACATTTAAAATGCATGTATCGTAATCTTGGATAACATGCTAAATGTATCTTAATCTGTGTTTTACAACATTTCTTAAAACACACACCATATACTTGAATAAAAAATATAAGGCACCTTAAGCAAGAGATAACGAAGATGTAACAGAGAATAACAGGGTATAACTGGAGATGGGTAAAAATTCTAAGCAAGAGCACTCTTAAAGCAATTGCTGGCGTTCTATCAGCATGATGTTAACCTTTCCTAGACGGCTTTTGACAAACGACACCAGCTTATTCAATATACAGGGTCCAAACATCAACGCTATCACGATTGTTATAACTGGCCCTATCAGGGTAGATATTAGGGTGGCAAGCCATGGGGAATGGTTAAACCATGATGCAAACCAATTTTGTTGCGCCTCTCGTTCCCGTTTTTCTAGGCCTTCTCGTAGTTTGGCCATAGCATCCCTCACTATTCCAGTGTGGTCGGCATATAGACAACATTCTTCCCTCAGTGCGACGCATCCTCCTCCTCGTTGTAAGAACGCTAGGTCTAACCCGCTTCGATTTTGTAGCACTACCTCAGATAGTGATCTAAGTGAACTTTCTAATGCACTGATTGCTCAACTCTAGCCAGGTCCTCGTCCACTGCCATTCTCAGGGCACTAAGTGCTTTATTTTGTTGCACTAAGGATGCTACTCCTGTACCTATTCCCGCACGTCCTACGCTCATTAGAGTGGCTATTGTCGGTGCTGTAAAGGGTTCCCGTTTTGACAGATGGTGTTCCGGGGTCATTTGTGAATCATAGACAAAATTTTCAGCATGGTAGAAGATTTTAGGGACTATAGTTACTTGGACACAATATTCTGAGGAGTCATTAAATTTGTCTAACGACAAACAAGGTGTAACTCCCGTAACGGAACAAACCCACTTGGCATTGCTGGCCGGTATCAGCCACCGTGCAGGGGTTTTAGCTTGTGTCACATTAGCACACAGTTGTTTTTTATGTTTTGGGATTTTACCCACCACATGTGCTAATGTAATCCCTTGTTTGTCTGTGTTCCAAACACACTGGGCTGGATTCGTACCATTTGCTCGTCTGGGGGTGTCGCTTACTCCTATAGCCTCGTAAAAGGGGGGGTTTATCCCGTAGCACAACCAACAATGCTCTGTGAGATTTGGGTGAGTTTTGTTCAGTAGTTGATAGCTAGCTTGCATCATTTTCCAAAGAGAATTTTGATCGGAAATTTTGGTGGTGTGTGCAATAACTTCAGTACTACTTCCAATACTATGTGGTAATGGTGTAGGTGTCGTTGGGTTGGGCATCGTTGGGACAGGTACTTCTGGGTGAAGAACCGGATTAGATCCTACGGGTTTAGGATCTCGTGGGATTGGCTCCTTCTTTATTAAAATGAGGCCCCCTGTATCGGTTCCTGATTCCTTATATCGCACCCCCCAAGTTTTCCCTATTATCCACCCATGGTCGAAAGGGTTCGTTACATTAATCATAAGATGCTGACAGCTCCCCAGGTCGATTCTCCCACGGGGAGCTAATACTATTCCTTCATTCCAACTTTGTTCCGGAGGGGTACATCCATAAGGCCCCCATTGTACCCTTAAAAACCTGTCTGGAGTTTCAGGGACCCAATTTGAGGCTATTGTCTCGCATCCCCAGTAGGCACAATAATATTCCCCGGGGTAATTGCAATATCCTTTTCCTGGATTCGAGCTCGGGCAGAAATAATACCCTATATGATCTAAACACGGGTCTCTAGGCACTAGTTGACAGAGGCTAGCAGTAAAGGTGGGTCCTCCTGTTGTGACTAGGCTTTGGATAACTTTTTGGTCTTCCCACCTAGACAAGGTCCACTTAAAAGGCTGATGGGGGTGGTATTCTGATACTGCTTGTCCTATAGCGACGAGCTGTAAAACGAGGATCACAAAAAGACATCGTAGCCTCCGTGTATGGGGGTTATGTGGCCGTTGTGCGGAGTCTGTCGGTGCGGAACTAGGTGTGGGCAGGATGTCTGTTGACTTGTCATCTTCTCTTGTTACCGGGGCGTACGGGTTACGAGGACGTCCGATAATCCGATTCTGTGGATAAAACCTCACAGTTTTGTTAGTTCTATTTCTGGAGGTCTGGTTTGAGGGACTTAAGCGGACACCACTGAACTTTTCCATCTTTTTTAACCGTGGCACAGCCCCTGTCTGCAATGGGGTGATCCCCCCCTCAATCCCCTGCCTGCAATGGGGTGATCCCCCCCTCAATCCCCTGCCTGCAATGGGGTGATCCCCCCCTCAATCCCCTGCCTGCAATGGGGTGATCCCCCCCTCAATCCCCTGCCTGCAATGGGGTGATCCCCCTCTCAATCCCCTGCCTGCAATGGGGTGATCCCCCTCTCAATCCCCTGCCTGCAATGGGATGATTCCCCCCTCAATCCCCTGCCTGCAATGGGGTGATCCCCCCTTCAATCCCCTGCCTGCAATGGGGTGATCCCCCTCTCAATCCCCTGCCCGCAATGGGGTGATTCCCCCCTCAATCCCCTGCCCGCAATGGGGTGATCCCCCCCTTAATCCCCTGCCTGCAATGGGGTGATCCCCCTCTCAATCCCCTGCCCGCAATGGGGTGATTCCCCCCTCAATCCCCTGCCCGCAATGGGGTGATCCCCCTCTCAATCCCCTGCCTGCAATGGGGTGATCCCCCCGTCAATCCCCTGCCCACACTGGGGTGCTCCCATACCCGGCGCTGGGTCAGATCCACGTGTCTCCACACCATCCGGTCCAATGCGAGCTGCCGCCACCGCCGGCAGACCCTGCGGGGAAGCGATCAGGGCCGGGCCCGAAAGCAGCCGGTACCGGTCCAAGGGGTGGGTCCTACCCAGCCGCTCTCAGCCGGTCCCGGTACAAGGGGGGGCCCTACCCGGCCGCTCTCAGCCGGTCCCGGTACAAGGGGGGGGGCCCTACCCGGCCGCTCTCAGCCGGTCCCGGTACAAGGCGGGGGGCCCTACCCGGCCGCTCTCAGCCGGTCCCGGTACAACGGGGGGGGCCCTACCCGGCCGCTCTCAGCCGGTCCCGGTACAAGGTGGGGGGGCCCTACCCGGCCGCTCTCAGCCGGTCCCACGGCGGCAGCAGCACCGAATGGGGCAGCACCGAGCCCTCCCCTGCTGCCGCCGCCGCCGCCATCTTGCCCGGTCCCCCCAACACTTCCTCTTCCGGTTTGCTCCCCGGCTAACTTCCGCTTCCGGCGCTGTGGCGGAGCTCGGTGAGTACCGGGGGGGGGCTCCGGGCCCTTCCGTGTTTAACCCCGTTACCCCCCCCCCCCGGTGTCCTCCCCGTTAACCCGGCCTCGTCCTCCAGGCAACCATGATCGAAGTCGTCTGCAACGACCGCTTGGGCAAGAAAGTGCGGGTGAAATGCAAGTATCCGCCGAGAACCGGGAGCGGGGGGGGCTGAGGGGGGGGGGGGTCCCGGTTCCTTCCCCCCCCCTTTTCCCGATTCCTTCCCCCCTTTTCCCGGTTCCTTCCCCCCTTTTCCCCTTTCTTCCCCCCCCCCCCCTTTTCCCGGTTCCTTCCCCCCCTTTTCCCGGTTCCTTCCCCCCCCTTTTCCCGGTTCCTTCCCCCCCCCTTTTCCCGGTTCCTTCCTCCCCCCCTTTTCCCGGTTTCTCTCCCCCTTTTCCCGGTTCCCCCCCCCTTTTCCCGGTCCTTTCCCCCGTTCCTCTCCCCCTTTTCCCGATTCCTTTCCCCCCCTTTTCCAGTTCCTTCCCCCCTCCCCCCTTTTCCCGGTTCCTTCCCCCCTTTTCCCGGTTCTTCCCCCCCCCCCCCCTTTCCCGGTTCCTTCCCCCCCTTTTTCCCGGTTCCTTCCCCCCCTTTTCCCGGTTTCTCCCCCTTCTTTTCCTGGTTCCTCCCCCCCTTTTCCCGGTTCTTCTGCCTCCCTTTCTCTTCCCCCTAGTCCGGGTTCTTCCCCCCCGCCTTTCCCCAGTTCCTTCCCCCTCTTTTCCCGGTTTTCTCCCCCTTCTTTTCCTGGTTCCTCCCCCCCTTTTCCCGGTTCCTTTCCCCATTTTTCCCGGTTCTTCTGCCTCCTTTTCCTCCCCCCCCCTCCCTTTCTCTCCCCCCCTAGTCCGGGTTCTTCCCCCCCCGCCTTTCCCCAGTTCCTTCCCCCTCTTTTCCTTAACGCCCCCGTTAGCACCGAGGACTCGATCCGGGACCTGAAGAAGCTGATCGCGGCGCAGACTGGCACCCGCTGGGATAAGATCGTGCTCAAGAAGTGGTGAGTGGCAGCGGGCTGGAAGCAGTCGAGGCCCGCATCGTGTCCCCCGTCCCCCCCCCCCCGGGGGGCTCTCCCCTTCCCCGTGCTGGGGCGGTGGAGCCGGTACCAGCCCCGCTTTCCGTCCCCGCAGGTACACCATCTTCAAGGATCACGTCACGCTGGGCGACTGTATCCTGCTGCGGGCGGGTGTTTCACCCTATTAACGGGTGTATTGGGGGGGGGGGGTGTTCACTGCATCCTTCCCCATCTCTTCTCCTTAACCCCATCCTCCAGATGAGATCCATGATGGCATGAACCTGGAGCTCTACTACCAGTAGCGGCTGCCGTTCCTTCCCGGTGCTCCCCTCTCCGTGGGGACCCCCCCATCCCAAACCCCGTTGTCCCTCCCCGGGCCGTGTTGAGGCTCTGAACCTGCTGCAGCTGCCCTGGAGCGTTTAAGTGGTTTCTAATAAATGTGTTTCTCGGGTCTCTGGTTCTTGCGTGGCTCGGGGGGGGGCGGCACCGGGAGCCGCTGAACCGGGGATGGTGGGGGGGGGAGACCGACGTTTTGCTGCTTCGCTTCGCTCTCTGACATCTTTTGCCCACCCGCGGCCACCGTCCGCTCCACTGTCCAGCCCA